CTGCTGCACTGGCGCTGGGTCTCGCCTCTGCCCCGTGGTGGTGTCCGGTGAAGGGTTCCACACTCCTTAATTTGGGAATGGCACCCCCGGGGATCCCCTGGGGCTCAGAGCTCGGTGCGTCCCGGAGCAGGTGGGAAAGGGCTTTGGCTTCTTCCTTCTTCTCCGTGATTTTTGTCCCCTGGTTCGAGAGAGCCGTGGGTGACCCTCGACCCTTTGGAGATGATCTTCTCCCCACGGCAGCTGTTTCTAAAGGTCCCGTAAGGGCTCGAGGATCTGAAATTTGAGGCTGTAAAAAAAAGAAAAAGGGCTTTTCCAGCCCCTTTTTTTTTGGAGAAGACCGTGCCACCTCCTCCTGCGGTGACACTACTCCTTCCCCCCCCCCTCCCGCCCCAAATTAAGCCATGGGTCACCCCTGACTTCGAAGCGTTCGGTGCAGGAAATATCTAATATATAAAATATAAAATATATTGTATGTTCACTTGTTTTAAGCGAACGTTGAATAAAGGTGACATCAGCCCACGGAGTCGGTGTCAGTCCCCCCCCCAAAAATCTTGTTTTCTCGGCTCCGGCCCCGTGATCCCGAGGGAAGCGGGATGCTGCGAGCTTCCTCTCGGCAGTGCCCTGCCCTCCCAGGAGGGAGGAGATAAGAAGCCCTCTCCGGGGTTGGTGGCCGTGACCTCTGGCTCGGCGAGGTCTGAAACAGCAAATTGCCCGGTGCTGGGCACGTGGCCAGCGGAAACGGGGTTCGGTGCCTCTCGGGGACAGGATGGTCCCATGGGAGGGCAAGCGGGAGCTCTTGGCCCCCCGCTCTGCTCCCGCCTGATGCTGGAGCCTTTAATGGTTCCACCAAGGTCTACGGCAGGATCCGCGTGGTGTCCCCAGGAGGGGCAGCTGATCCCTGCGGGGTGACAGTCCCTGGTGCTGAGCAGGGATGGGCACGAGCACCGAGTCCTGCTTTGGGACATCCCACTGAGCACTGGTACCAGTACCAGGCAGCAGCACCGTTACTGGTCTCCCTGCGGGGCACTGGCACTGCTCCGGGACACCCCATGGGATACCGTCCCCGCTCCCAGGGGAGGTGCAGGGCCACAGTGGACACCCCGCTTTGGGAACCCCCAAGTCCCGGGGGGGTGGTGGCCACCAGGAGGTCTGGACCCCACGGCAACCCACCACCTGCCCAGCCCTCGGCCACCAGCAGGTGATGGCCACGTCCCCCTGGTGAGCAGCTCTTGGGTGAAGGCTCTCGGCCACGGGGCAATTCTGGCTCCAGGAAGCCCTGAGGGCTTTGGGGACATGGAGGGGTCCCAGACACAGCTGTGGCTGCAATGGGGTGCAGAACATCGGGGCTGACCCTCACCCCAGCCCTTCCCTCCACCCCTCCCAATCCCCCCAAAGGCCTCCTCCCTTGGGCTCAGGGGGTCTTGTGTCCCTCCTCCTCCCCACCAGCTCCCCCTCAGCAGGTCCCAACCCCCCAGGACAGACAACTGGAGGCAGTGGGTTCAGCTCCGTTGGTCTTTACTGGCTTGGGGGGGGGATGCATGGGGCTGGAGGGGTGGGGACCGTGGTGGCCCAGGTGGGAGGCTCCACACATAGCCCCATCCCACCTTAGGGATGTCAACACGCTACAGACACGGCTGCGGCCAGCTGGGGGCTGCCGGGTGCTGGAGAGGAACAAGCGACCCCCAAAAATACAGGTTGTGACAACAAGCTGCATGTCCCCAAGTCACCTCAGATGTAGAGAGAAGAAGAGGAGGAGGAAGACGTGAGAAAAGAGAAGAGAGAGATGAGACGAGAAGAGAAGAACAAGAGAAGAGAGAAGAAAGGAGAAGAGAAGAGAAGAAAGGAGAAGAGAAGAGAAGAACAAGAGAAGAGAAGAACAAGAGAAGAGAGGAGAGGAACAAGAGAAGAGAAGAACAAGAGAAGAGAGAAGAAAGAGGAAGAAGGAGAGGAGAGGAGAGGAACAAGAGAAGAGAAGAACAAGAGAAGAGAGAAGAAAGAGGAAGAAGAAGAGGAGGAGAGTAGAGGTCAAGTCAAGTCAAGTCAAGTCCAAGAAGAGGAGGACACAAAGAGTAGATGACAAGAGGATAAGGCCAAGAACAGGTGAAAGACAAAGAAAAGGAGAAAATGTCATGAAAAGGAGATGACAGGAGGAGAAGGCCAAGAAGAGGGGATGACAAAAAGACAAGACGAGGAGACAAAGATCAGAAGCGACGCGCCGGTTGCTCTCCAGCGTTGTTCCCAGGGGACTGGGCCACAGCTCTCTGCTCCGGCCACCTGCGTGGCCACACCATGGCCACCCCCGTGGAGCCGTTCCTCACGGGACTGGGACGTGTGCGGGTCCCTTTGTGCCTGGCTGGGGCCGGGGGGCTCCTCGCAGGGCCCGACCCCACCCGCCA